AAGGCTAATGTTAAGCATAGAGCACTGCTAAATCACCCTCAGTTTGAAGAGGGCATAAATGGTTAACCAATATCACATGGGTTTTCTGTGGCACAGGTAGAGAATAAATCTAATTCCAGTATTGGTTTACTTACATTCTATGACCATCTCGTTTTTATTGAAATCTACCGCCTCAACTTATCTAGTCTCAACAAATGAGAACTACTGAAAGTCAATGCACACTATACAAATTCCCCTCTCCCTTGGAGGGGAGAAATTAATGCTTACTTTTTACAAAGGAAAACTTGGATAATGAGTATAGAGCACTAATAGTTGCTGTGCACAATTCAGAGGAACAGGGACAACAGATCACAAACAATCCTCCTTTAAAGCTAAGTATTTCAAAGTATCAGAGACTTTATACCGGGTTCTGGCTCATCATTTCTTTTCTCTGGGATTGGCAGCACAACAACATCTGAAGCACAAAATTCTTTCTCTCTGGTCTTATGACTAATGTCTTTGATATGCTAGTCATTAGTCACCCTAGTTAATGCAATCTCCTGCTTATTTGCCTGTCTCAGAGCAGTATAGTTATAGTATAGCAGCTTTCTGCCTTTGAGGTAATCCTTGCAAATGTAAGTATCTTTCAGCCTCCCTCCATCTTTCAAAGCAACACTTAAGCATACATCTTCTATAAAACAGTTTTCCATTGCACATTATTTATATGCATTCATAGTTAACCATGTGAATCTCTAAACAAAAAACTTCACAATTTGTATATTACTTTAGGCACAGGTTACCATAGCATTTAATTTAATAAATAGTTTTAAATGAAAACTCTGGCCCAGGAGGCTAGTCACTTAAGATGAGCAAATAAAAATCTGTCTCCTCATGAAAGGTCTGTCTTGAAGTGATACAGAACAGCTAAAAACTGAATACTGCTGTCTTCCTATAAATGTATGTGATAACCCAGAAGCAGATACTTTCTTTGCACCTGACAATTATATAAACTCTAATACATCAATGCAAAAATACCAGCCTACTGCTACTGTCCCCTTTGAAGAGCTATCAAATCTATTTGTAATCAAATCTTGCATTATTTAATTTGCCTGAATTGATTTCCAGTGGATGTTCAGACAGTACCTATATAGTAGTGTTATGTCTGTATTTTGTTCATGAAATCAGGCCTCTCAGTGGTTAAGACAGAAAAAAACAGTGCTACTGCCAGTTGAGAATGCAGGACAGCTTTGTTCTTCTCCCTTTCTTTACAGCATAGCCTAGTGAGTTAGCCTGGAACTAAACTTTACAATATTGTAGTCAGTGAAAACCAGAGTTTTGAGCTGAAGTAATAGACTCTAGTGTGGAGCTGAAAAAGAGATCACTCATTATTAACACAGTTTGACTACGCAGTGAAATAAGGAGAGGCCCCAAGAGGGGGTTAGGGGAGCATTCTTAGGGTTGAAAAGTGGTGTAAGAGGATACTGCTAGCCACTTCTTGCCCACCTATTGCTGCATCTCAGTCCACTTCTTTTACCCTGATACTGTTCCATTTTCAGTGCACAGGGGAGCTCAGGCAAGATGGTGCTTATGACTGTTTACTTTCAATGCAGGAGCTAAAAAGCTTTCTCAACTCGCATCAGAAGTGGGAGCATGAAGCTGAACTCTAGCCTGAGTCAAACATATAGTGCAGACATCTAATAGTAGATGTCTGCTAGATGTTACCTACTTGAAAATCCTCCTGTTATCGATAAAACAATCTATTTTCAAACAGATTTTTCCATGAAACTGCTACCAGTAGGTATAATATTTCAAACAAAGGAGTCTTTTTGCAAAGGTGTTTGACATTTTCTGCCAGTGTTTTGCCAGTATCTGGGCAATTCTTGGGATATTACTGGAGTGTAAGAACACTTTTTTATATAGTATATGATAATTTTGACACTAAAGTATTTATTTTGATAAGTAGCTATATTCTGGAAAGTTCAACTACATTTAATTTTACTAAAATTGAGTTTTATTCTTAATTAAAATACCAATTCTTTCACTTTCCAAGCTTGACTGACTGTTAAGAAGAAATGGTCTCAATTTCACTTGTATTGGACTTTCTGAAATGTATGTGAATAGTGAAAACATTCTAAGAAGGTCCATGCTATGCAATATAAATAAGTAACTAAAAATTAAATACCTGACTCACTTTGTATGCTTCTCCATCCTCAGCCCTTCAAATCTTGTCTGTGCGAAAGTGCTGCACACTGTAAATGAAAATACAAAGCAGTTTCCTTTCTATTCAACAGCATTGAGAAAGTTGAAGCATTTCTAACAAATTTCACCTTTATTCTTTCTATTCCTTTTTTGTCTTAGGAATTTGAGCAAATTGGGCACTTTGAGGTAATCAAATTTACCTTTTTAGCATTAAAATGTGGACTGGGCATTATCTAATTGTTACAACAGTTGGAGTACCCAAGTGCATTTAGTAGTTTTGGACAACCTGAAGGGGATATTTACCTTGTATATCTAACCAGCAAGCTTCACTTCTGTTAAAATGAAAGATTGCAGCAGGTGTTGGTATTGTAGGAATAAAAGCAGATGAGTCAGATGTGCCTGAAAAATCACTGCAAAAATACCATCATGCTACCTATGTAAAACCCAGCTCAGCATTACCTGCACCATTAAACAGCCCTTGTCTGTGTTTCATAAAATATTATGAAGCTCATAAAGCTCTTCTCCCAAGGAAATTGCTGATTCACACCCTGAAAAGGGGAATCTGAGAAAAAGGAATAGAGGACAGGACCACTTTCACAAGAAAAAAAAAACAAGCACTGGCAACTCCATTCTAGCAAATTTACCTATAGGAAAAAAGCCAAGTCATGTTTTTAATTTGTTTTATATCTGTACAAATCAAATTTTCATCATGTTATATAATAGGCAGAATGAAGTTTTCATTATTCCATGTGTTCCATCTCCTCAGTTTCACAGGCATGAAAAGCAGAATGAACTGTACTTTTTCTACTAAGATTAGTGGGGGACTGGTAGATAATCTACATCCAGAAGAAGACTGAATCAAGTCTTTCCCCTTAAACAAGTACCTGCTCTCAGACTGCATAATGTGGAACATCCACTGAAAAGCCTCAGGAATAAATGAATGATTCATTGGTTCAGTTGTTATCCTTTTATAATAGCTCTTTCAAACAGAACTTTTACATCAACATTAAGGAAGGTGCTATGGATTGTGATTTTGAGTGATCTTTATTCATAAGCTTTTGTGTTTACAAAATAGAAATCTGTATCATTTAATAGGGAGGGGGTAGTCTTGTTGTAATACTAATTTGAGAAATCTACTTACTTTTGAATTAAATCTCCTGGGTTCTTCATTAGTTCTATTGCAATTATCTTGGTCTAATGGGAGAGCAATGGCATGTGTGATGTGCTGCACCTGTGTTGCTGCCATCTTGTGAGGATGCAGGTTTGTCCCTTAAATAGTCCTTTGTGCTGTGGTCTAATCAGTGTGGGCCTTTCCAGGCTTGCCAGACACAGCATGTTCCTCAGTTTGATTGCATGGGAGCCATGTTCTTCCACACAACTCACCTTTTTAGGCCCTTTTTGCTGTTGCTTTCTCACACACACTTCCATTCATGCTTCATTCATATCACTTATCACTTCTGTTGCAAGCCTCTAAAAGAGGCTGAGGAGATCCTCGGACACAGAGGAGACAACTTGAGCAAAAGAGGGCAAGATGCTGACAGGACTTCATAGCTGAGGTAGCCAAGGCTAGCTGAGGAACCCACAAAGGTTAGAGAAAAAGCTTTGTTTGAAGTAGGGAATTTTTCCAAGTAAGTTAACTATTGGAAGAAGGCCTCTGGAAGAACTCATATAGTTCACTTACTGTATGTAATGTTTAAATAGCATAATGGTTATATGTATTTACAATATCTGAACACTTGGAATGGTGATATGCAAACTCAGTATATGTCAGAAAAGCAATATAGTATAGGCTGTTTTACAGACTGGAAGAATGACTGATATTCAGAGCAGGAGAAAAAAAGCTGTAGGCTAGTAGGAATAGAAAAATGGCTGGCTAATGGAGAGTTAGAATGACAGACAAGGATGACAGGCTAGATGCAGGCTGAATGACTGGGATATCAGATGAGTTAGAGAAAGAAAGATCAAGGCTGTTATGCAGTGAGAGTGGAGGCACAAGTGCTCAAAGAAAAATGGAAAATGTGAGGAAGTCTTGTCTAGAAGTAGTAAGGCAGGATTCTAGAAAGAAGTACTGTCATTGGTCAGGCTTTGTGCTCAAGGTTTCTACTGACAATTGTGCTAAAGAAGGTTGGCACAGTCTTTCAGATATCCCCTTAACTCTGCTCATAAAATCCAACAGGAGTCTGGAAGATACCTCTGGGATATAAGATCGTCATTGCCTAGAGAAAGAAGACATTCCTTGACAAATTCCAAAGTGCGCAAATGACACGGCAGGCTGGTTTGGTACCTGAAGACGACAAGGGAAATGAGGGCTGTGCTGTTGAGCAGTCAGATTTCAAAATTAAGAGAATTTCTTTTGGGAAGAAGAGAATTTCAATAGTAAGTGTAAGTTGGTCTGATGAGAGGTACCTTCTCGTTGGTACTGCCAGAATGCTCAGGAGCACCAGCTCTTGACTACATTGTTTTGGTGTAATATTGGCAACTTGTAGGCCTGTGGTGTGAACAGAGTTAGATGAGGTGCAGAAAAGGAACAGACAGTGCAGAGGTGTCTAGGCTGTGAACTGCCAGTACTTAGAAACTAGGGAACTGACTTCAGAAAGTCAAAATTATCCACAAATACGCTTACATCCTGTAAGTAAATACACTTGCTAGAGTCTACACTTAAATACCTTCTGATCTTTATTGGGCTGCAGTGGAGTTACACTTTTGAATTTTTTTTGTGACAAACCTGAGGGCAGAGAGGCTGCCATTTGTAAAACATGACCTCAGCTTCCTGGGGTGCATGTAGTTTCAGGCTCTGCTGCCCTAGAACACACAAACACCCCATGTCGTATGACTCACCAAGGGCAACTGCTGTGGATGCCTGGCTCCAGCTGCATGTGGATGCACTTGAGGTGACAGACCGGAACAGCAGCGGGGCCAATGTCGCATGCGGGCGCTGGCTGCTGCTTGCCGGAGATTTCTCTGCCAGCAAGTCAGTCTTGGGGTGAGGGGTGTACTGACCCCCTGGTCTAGACCAGCCACTTCCCTGGAGGGGTGGAAGTTGCGG